AACTTGGAGGGAGGTGAGATCATTTCTAAAGAGGTAATAAGCTTTACAGAGTAAGCAACTCAATGCCATTGCCTGGGCAGAGCTGGGAGACGCAATGATGGTGACATTCTTAAACTCTTGGACTAAAATCAAGGGTCAAAAGTCAGGGAGTCTAAATGTGGTACACTGGACTGGCTCTTGGAACAGAAAGAGAACACTAACAAAAAACTAGTACATACAAATGACATTTGAGTTTAAACTTGATCTTTCCTTTCTGTTACATATGAAACAAAGTATCTCAAAGACAATCTAGAAAATAACTTCATTACCTCAAAATAGGAAAATATTTTGTAAAACGGGCAGCAAAGATATTGAACATAGGACTGATACTCAAAACTGCATTAAAACTAAGAACTTACAGTGAGGAAGCTATCATTAGGAGAGAACAACAAAGGACAAATTAGAAGAAGATAGTTTCAACACATAAAGATACAGTTAATGAGAAAAGGACTGACATCTCAAACAGAGAAAAACCAGTAAGGTATTTAGTAGTTCTTCATAAAATAGAGAATCTGTCAATAAATATAAAAAAGTGGAAATTAAAGCTACAGTATGGTAACAATACATTCCTAACCAAAATGCTTAAAAATTGAAGAGAATATCATGTAATGCCAAGAATGCGCAGCAAATGTGAGTCTTAAATACAATGATGGGCTCTGAAATGACACAGGCTAGATTTAGCTCTCAGCTCTGTTCTAATCTCTCCATTAAATAAAGGCAGCAGTATTCAAACTGCCACTACAAAGTTTCTGAGACGGCTAAAGAAGGTACACATAAAAAATGTAGCATGTTTGATACATATAGTAACTATACCATAAACACGATTTCTTCTGTTTTGTTTTAAACAGTATTATAAAACTAAAAAAACAAAAACAAAACAAAAAAACAAAACCCTTACACTAATTTTGGGTTCTCCCCCTTAGAAATGGCCATGTGATAAATCCTGTATTTCCTTAAAGTAAATAGTGCTGACAATCGCATATGGCTGGGGAGTCTTCCAAAGAAACTGCTCCACACAGCCTTTCCCCGTTCTTTTCTCTGCCTTTTAGGGTCACAGTTACATGACAGAAAATCTGGGACGCACACCATCTGTCCAGACACTTCCCGCACTGCTCATTTCTCCTGTTAGTTGGAGCACTTCACACTTGCCAAGCACTGCTACGATACTGAGCAGTGGAGTGAACCAAAGTTCCAAAAGTGTGGTAGCTGAAATGACTGCTTCCCGATCATACCACTGAGAAGAAAAAGTCATCCTTAACAGCAAGTTTAAGACAAAAGAGTGATAGTTTTGCACGACTTTTGAAAAAACCACATGCAGCCACTTCATGAGCTAATTAGATGGCATCTAAGCTGTACATTTCTCATAAGGAAGGGATCATCTTTTCACTGTGACTGCAGTGGTATCAGTACCAGTTAGTAGCATTCAGCACATCTTGACACTCTTAAAATCCCTTTTTCTACATTAACACTTTTAATCCTTAAAACAAGGCTGCATGGCAATGCCTAATATTATTTTTAAAGTAATATTATTACTTTAAAGTGGGAAAACTTTATATAGAGAGGTTAAAAAAATGTCGAGGGCAACAAAACTGTAACATGTACAGCTGGGATTTAAAAGCTGGCTCTGGGATTTTAGTTTCTTTGGTATGATATCCTAAACGGATAAAACACATTATACACTAATTTTGGCATTTCTATCATATTTTAATATGAAACTCATAAAATTTCCAAAACAGCCCTATTCACCTAAGTGTTATGTAGTGTCTACATAGCTTTATGCCAATTTGGCACAAGCTAGAATCATTTGAGAAGGAGGAATCCCAGTTAAAAAAAATTCCTCAGCCCTAGTCACTAAGCTGCAGGTGAGGACTCAGTTGCCTCCCCCTCTTTTGCTGGTGCAAGCAAGGGTAATGACCTGCTTCCTGCTGGCACTGAGGATTCTATCCTTATAAGAATTCAACAGAGAAACGGTAGGAATATCCTTACTACTGTCCCAGGGATCGCTGATGATTATGATAAAAAGAAACTAGTGCAGGCGTTTAAGAAGAAATTTGCCTGCAATGGTACTGTAATTGAGCAACCAGAATATGGAGAAGTAATTCAGCTATAGGGTGACCAGAGCAGAAACATATGACAGTTCCTGATAGACTGGACAGGCTAAAGGACAATTCGTTGAAGGTTCATGGGTTTTAAGTGCTCATTACTCTGAAGCTTAAGTGAGGATTTCCTTGCAATGGGTAGAATTTCCCTTCTGTCCCTTGTCACAAGTTTAAAAACCTCACAACTTGTATAATGTAACCATTTGGGGTCTTGGACTAGTGTAACTCCTTCAAAAAAAGAAAAGAAAAGAAAAGAAAAGAAAAGAAAAGAAAAGAAAGAAAGAAAGAAAGAAAGAAAGAAAGAAAGAAAGAAAGAAAGAGAAAAGAAGAAAAGAAAAAATTGTCCACAAGATCAGGTTTAGGCAAGCCTGTAAGGCATTTTCTGAAATTAGTGATTCATGGGGGAGGGCCCAGCCCATTGTGGTGGTCCTGGGCTGGCGATCCTCGGTTCTATAAGAAAGCTACTATCATACTTGAACAACCACTTTGGAAATCAATCTGGCACTTTCTCAGAAAATTAGGAATAGCGCTTCCTCAAGATCCAGCTATACCACTCCTAGGCATATATACAAAAGATTCTCAAGTACACAACAAGGACATTTGCTCAGCCATGTTCATAGCAGCTTATTCATAACAGTCAGAATCTGGAAACAGCCCATATGTCCCTCAATTGAGAAATGGATACAAAAATTGTGGTACATTTACACAATGAAATACTACTCAGCAATTAAAAACAAGGAAATTATGAAATTTGTAGGCAAATGGTGGGAACTAGAAAAGATCATCCTGAGTGAGGTATCGCAGAAGCAGAAAGACACACATGGTATATACTCACTTATAAGTGGATATTAGACGTATAATATAGGATAATCATACTAAAATTTGTACACTTAAGGAAGCTAAGCAAGGAGGAGGACCCTGGGTAAGATGCTCAATCCTCATTTTGAAAGGCAAATGGGATAGATATAAAAAGGTACAAACAAGGAACAAGACAGGAGCCCACCCACAGAGGCCCTCTGAAAGACTCTACCCAGCAGAGTATTAAAGCAGATGCTGATACCCATAGCCCAACTTTGGGAAGAGTGCAGGGAATCTTATGAAAGAAGGGGGAGATAGAAAGACCTGGAGGGGGAAGGAGCGCCACAAGGAGAACAACAGAACCAAAAAATCTGGGCACAGGAGTCTTTTTCTGAGACTGATACTCCAACCAAGGACAATGCATGGAGATAACCTAGAAACCCTGCATAGATGTAGCTCATTGTCCAAGTGGGTACCCTAGTAATGGGAACAGGGACTGACTCTGACATGAACTTAGGGGCTGGCTCTTTGATCACCTCCCACTGAGGAGTGTGGGCAGCCTTACCAGGCCACAGATGAAGACAATGCAGACAGTCTTGATGAGACCTGATAGGCTAGGGTCAGATAGAAGAGGAGGAGGATCTCTCCTATCAGTAGACTGGGGAAGGGGCATGGAAGGAGAAGAGGGAGGGAGGGGGGATTGGGAAGGGGGACTACAGCTGGGATACAAAGTGAATAAATTATAATAAATAAAAAAATTAAAAAGAAAAACAAAACAAAACAAAAAGAAAGCTACTACCAGCAAGCCAGTAAACAGTATCCCCCCATGGCCTCTGCATTAGCTCCTGCCTCTAGGTTCCTGCTCTGTTTGAATTCCCGTCCTGGCTTCCTTCAGTGATGGACTACAATGTGGAAGTATAATCCAAATAAACCCTTTCCTCCCTAACCTGCTTTTTAGTCATGGTGTTTCATCACAGCAAGAGTAACGCAAACTAAAATAGTCATTAATGTACTAATTTCTAAGGATATTTGGAAGTTTTAATGAATTTTTTTATTTGTGTGTGTATGTACATGTGTAGGTGGGCACAGCGTGTTGCATGAGTGACTATCAGAAGACACCTTGTGAAAGCTGGTCTCTCCTCCCACCATGTTCGTCCCCAATACAACTCAGGTTGTTAAGCTTGGCAACAAGTGCTTTACCTGCTAAGCCACCTCATTGGCCCATTTCTCCTTTTTTGAATTTTTATTCCTATGTATGTTATAATCAGTTTTTAGTCAGCAGAGTTTATTACCATAAAGCAAAGTAGTTTTTATAATTAAAAAGTTTAAAGAGTACACTCTAGGATCAGAGTCAATTTGGGGATAATTTTCAACCTTACAAAAATGTTTGAATTACTCTCAAACCTCCAGAACAACTTTACAGTCTTCAGATGAAGACTCAGGGACCCTAGTAGGAGGTGATGAACCTAAGGAAAAAAATATTTTAAGTCTAGAATTTCTGTTTATGCATACAGAATAGTCTCCTTTCTGCTTAATGGCTCAAGCTTATCCCAATGGTAACATGACTAGCAATGATAGAAACTGTATTAATAATCACAGTATTAGATAACAATATGAGTGATAGCCTACATGCTGTTGGCTTGCTAAGTGCTAAACACTATGCTAAACGCTTTATACTATGAAGTATATCATGGAGGCCATGTGGAATAGTGGCTAAAAATATGAAATCTATAGTGTGCTGTGTGTCAGAGTTGTGTTTCCACTCCCATAGATTATCAAGCTCCATGCCTCTGACAGACATACTTCTGCCTTAGGTGGTGGGCTTGAGTTTTATGCTACTTGTTCTATGGTAACTCTGATCATAACTCCTTTGGCTGACTAGTCTTTCCAATAGTTGGTCCTCACAGCTTCCTCACAGCGAGCTGTTGTAAGAACATCACAGGAGAGCTGAACTCTGAGTAAGATGTCAGCACACTAGCTGATGATGAAGCCTTGGCAGACTTTCTGTTTTCAGAAGTGATGACTATAGCCCTTTTATTTAATAAGTACTTATCTGATCCATACTTAAACTTCTTTCCTGTTCTGGCCTGAGTGCCTCCATTCCACATATGGTCAGTCTCTTCATAGAAGAAAAAAATATCAAGTTTTACATCATCTTTTCCCTGGAAGGATAATTCCAAGCTGTCTTCCACCTAAAAAGAAAATGAAAACCTTTAGACTGAAACAACAGAAACACATTTTCATTTCATTCATTCATCCATTTGTTTATTTAAAATTTATCAAATGGTGTTTTGTCTGCATGTATATCTGTGTAGTATGTGCATACAGTGTCTACAGAGTCCAGATCGCCTAGAACTGGAGTTCCAGGAGGTTGTTTAGGTGTCATGTGGGTGCTGGGTCCTCTTGAAAAACAATCAGTGCTGTTAGCCACTGAGCCATCTCTCCAGCCCCACATTTTCACTTTTTAAATAAATAAAAATGGTTTAATGTTTTATATAGTAAGCATTAATTCTAAGGTTCATGCTTTTTAAACTTAAGTCCCCATGGAAGCAGAGGCTTCAGAAGTGGGACATTATACTAACTCTTCTTTCTTTGTTTCTTCCTTCCTTTTTTTTTTTTTTTTTTTTAACTAGCTTCTCTTAAATGCATATAAAACAATGTTTCTTAAACTGATGAAAATTCATGAGTAAATGTCTCATGGTAGTTAAAACTGTCTCTCTGCAGGGAAAACTGAACACTACATTCCAGAGCCCTTTCTAACTAAAGGAGGAAAGGAAAGCTATCCCGTAAGTAACGGTCACATCGAACTTGGTGCATGTGTCTTCAACAGCATCACACAATAGTGTATGTGATCCTCAAGGGGACGAACTCTCATGTATTCATCTCTATGTTCCACTGCAAAGCACAGAGCCAGACACCAGAGTTTGGCAAGCCCCAGCGACTGACTAACGCTATTGCTTTGGTTGGCCACAGAAAACATTCAACTATTTTTTGGGGGGTGGAGGATGAATTAGAATGATGATCTCTAATGGGGGATATCTTTCTTTTTTTTTAACTTGCTTTGCAGGATAATACTTCCCTGGAGACTAATTAAGAGCAGGATTATCACAAAGGATCATGGGCTTCTGTCCAGAGTAAAAGATCATCTAGGCCACCGTTCTAGGGCTAGTCCCCTAGCCCTCATTAGCCTCTGCTCACCTTAGGACATGTGAGCCAAACAAGAAGTTCAAGCACCTGTTTAACATGGCTCCATCTCTCTATGCCTTAGCAAGCAATGGAAATCTGTGCTATAATTATTATGACATCTAAGTGAGCGTAGAATTAGATGACTCAGAAAAAAAGTAACTTCAAATACAGTAGGTGGAATACTAGCTTTATTGTTAATTTTATAACAGCCTATTGCTGAACAGAATGACAATACAGTCACTTACAAGAACCCAGGACTCTTCTTTCTTCATTATTAATAAAAGGCCAGATTTTCTAGCTTCTCCTTAAGCAGAACAGAAAACTTAAGGGATAGTAGGATCCTGATGAGTGCTGGGTGATAAAAGAATGTTTGCCACTAATCTAACTATGTACACATTAGTTAACGTAAACCTTACAGTTGAGACTCGTTATTTATGAAAAAAGTTGATTGCTACCAACCTTCCCGAACTTATGTTTGAGTGGAAGTCCTGCATCCTGAAATGCCAAAATAATATCAGGTTTGTAATCTTGTATAAAAATTCCTAGGTCGACATCTTTACTATAAGGAATAATACTGCACTGCCGATACCATCCTAAAATGGAGGGAGGAAAAAAAAAAAACAATTTTTAGATTATACCTGGAAAATTAGTTATTATAATGAAAAAACTTTATAGCAATGGCTATAATTTCATAGGGTTAAAGTTGTAGTGCTTTAGCAAAATTATTTTTTAAAAGTTAAATCCCAGGTTAAGAGCACTGGCTGTTCTTCCAAAGGTCCTGAGTTTGATTCCCAGCAACCGCATAGTAGCTCATAGCCACCTATAAGGAGACCTGGTGCATAATGAGATTTTGTGTATACATAATAAATAAATCTTTAAAAACACTTGGTTATAGTAGTTTTCTTAAAGAATCAATCTCCCTTTTTTTCTTCCCTTCTTTTTCTTTTCCCTCTCCTTTTTCTTTCTTTCTCTGGTCTCGGTGCTCAGTTTCCTCAAAAGCTTTAATGAAGCCAGGCATGGTGGCTGACACCTTTAGGCTAGCTGCTATGTTCTATACAGTGAGTTTCAGAATAGTCAGAGCAATACAGTGAGATCCTATGTTAAAAAAAAAAAAAAGTTTTCACAGTACATAATTTCTGAATAGACCATCAGCTTTAGTAACATTAAATGGATGATCCATTTAAACAATTGCTGTTCAGAGTGTTTAGTCATTAACATTTAATGATTGAGACTGCCTTAATATGTGCCAAAAATATTTATTTCTCCTAATATACTTTCCTGAGTCCATAATTTATAGCACTTACCAGCTCCAAATAGCTCATACCTGAGGGTCACTTTTAAAAGATCTGATTAAGGTGTGACATTTGGTGTATACCTAACACTATTTCTTGGTGTTTCCTGTGTATCTACTCCCTTAGGTAGATACACAGGTACCTCAGCACTGTTCTAGAAAAGCTTACTCCCTAACACTACTAATGCCTTGGTCTTCCTGACTAGCTCCAAATCTTTCTATTCAAATAGGCTTTAAAGTATGTAAATCTCTATAGTCATCCCAATAGGCATTGCTATTGGATAATATTATTTGAATTCTAAAAGAATTCTAATAAATTATTTAAAATGAAGAATTTGCTGGATATTGTGGTACTCATCTTTAATCTCAATACTTAGGAGGCAGAGACAGGAGGGTCTCTCTAAGCTCAGGGTCAACCTGATCTAAATAGAGAGTGCCAGGCTAGCCAAGGGTTACATAGTAAGACCCTACTTAAAAAACAAAAGTTAAAAACCCCCAAAAACTAAAAATGAAGGGCTCTTTAAATATCATTTGATATACAGTATCATCAAATACAATTATCCTATTTTATAAATGAAATAAACTATGAGGCTAAAAACTCAAATCATGACAAATGACTAAGAATTTTTAGTTAGTAACTATAAACAACCTTGTTTCCATAAAAAGTTAAACATTGAAGCAAATATTGCATACACAAGAGAGCGCCATGTACTTTTTTACACTTTTATTATTTTGGTGGTTGAGACAAGGTGTAGTGTATCCCAGGATGGCTCTGACCTTGCTAAGCAGCTATGGCCTTGAACTTCTGAGCCTCCTGCCCCTGCCTCCTATGTTAGGTTACAGGTGTGTGCAATACTTAGGGTAAGCATGTAATCTTTCATGTAGTCCAGTAAAGGAGAGCCACAATCCCAGGCTACAACCTGTTGCACCTGCACAATTATTTACATCACTTCCTTGCAGTCTCAAAGTGTCCTGAACTGGACAATAAATTCTATGGCGACTCTTTAAAAGCTGAATTAACTGGAGTTAACTTTGTACAAATACAATCACAATCAAAAGACAGATACAGTTATAATCAACTACAGCAATAATTGAGAAGGAACAGATAAAAACAACAATCTTAAGGATCTACATAATTCTAAATTCCAAGAAACTGATGTAATGAACAATATATCCAGAAAACCTTTTCCAGATTGTAATAGCTGCCTGCTTCAGATGGCAAAAAGCACCTTTCCCCATCTCAAGTGAGTAGTGATGCCTATTCAGTGATGCTCTTAATGACCTGGAAAACCTTATGGATGTCCTTAGAGCCTTTCAGTCCTCCTCTTCCTAGAAATGTTTCCTGCAATGTAACTTTAACTTTTTTGTTGTTATTTTAATTTAAAGCAATAATAATCTTTGAGATCGAAATAACAAATTGCTAATTTAAGGATTACCTGAAACCAACTGTAACATACAGGTCTGATGTAAATTTGCACACATAATTATAACTTTTAGTAAATACAAGTAGCCTTAAGATTCTATTTATAGGGCTGGAGAGATGGCTCAGTACTGACTGAGTACTGACTGCTCTTCCAGAGGTCCTGCATGGTGGCTCACAATCACCTATAATGGGAGCTGGTGCCCTGTTTGGGCAGATAGGTGTACATGCAGATGGAACACTTATATATATATAATACATAAGTAAGTAAATCTTTTAAAAAATTTTATTCTGTATTCATCAATTTCTTTAAATTCAACACATCTTTGCTTGGTACATTAATGTCACTGTACTTTTGGCATTACCTGCCCCATATTACTGATGCCTCATGCACTCTTAAAGCCAAAAGGGTGAGATAGAGATAAATGTAAAGCACTTTTACCTAGACAAGTCCCACTGCTCAACCAGAAGGGCACTCCCAATTCCTTTAACGTTTTGGCTGCTAGTTGCAGTAATTCCTTTGCCCTCTTCCGAAAGGCCATAGCATCCACAGTGTTATCATCAAGGTACTGCTGCAAGTTTAAGAAACAATTATCTATTGTAACAAATCCCTAAACTGCTAGAAACATTCCTATGATATCTGAATTAAACTTGGAAATTAATACCGTATCTTTTTTCTGTTATAAAAAGATCCAAATTTAGGGAGCTTGGGGTGGCCCAGTGTAAAGTTTTTGCTATGTGAGCCTGAAGGCCTAGTTTGGATTCAGCACCCATGCAGAAGCTGGGAGGGTTGGTATGCGTCTGCATCACCTGTGCTGTGGGGTGGGGTGGAGCCGCCAGAGCCCTGGAACTCCCCGGCCAGCCAGCCCCCACCAACTCCAGGTTCTCAGCAAACAAGGTGGAGGAGTGTGGCTGCAGGCTTGCCCATGTTCTGCTGGGTGCCCACAGCCATGTGCACATAGGAAGCATAACTGCGTTCTGTGGCTTACAACACATGAGAGGACATGAAAATGGAAGACGGGTGTTTTCGGCAGGAGTACACAAGACCTGGGAGTGGATGCACTCAATTATGTACCGGAGGAAGACACCCAGAGCCAACCTCTGGCCTCACAGACACAAGCATGCAACTGCGCCCACAAACACACGGGCACACAGGCACACACCCCACAAGCTATCAACAATCAGAGTTGATAGTTACTTCTTAGTCACACATTACAATAATTAGATTCTGGAAGAAGCCAATTAAAAAGGAAAGAATACAAAAAACTAGGATTCCCCAATGATGCGAATTTAACTGTTACCAGTTTCCTCTGCACAACAAAATTTACTAGGCTGGGCAGCTGGGAGAAAAGAAGAACAAGTGATAGAGCCAGAAGCATTATTTAAGCAAAATAGATTAAATGATGTTTTTGTTGTACAGTCATTTACTTGTCTTTAGAGACTGAGTAATCAAGCAGAGTAAGACACTTTTTTGTTGCTGTTTTGGTTTTTTGTTTTTCAAGACAGGGTTTCCCTGTGTACACTTGGTTGTAGACCAAGCTGGCCTTTTCACAGAGATCCACCTGCCTCTATTTTCCTGAGTGCTGGGATTACAGGTGTATGCCACCGCGCCCGGCTGAGAAAGACACATTTTGAATCACATCATCTGTTTTTGACTCTAGGTCCATCTCCTTTTAGACAGGCAGATCATCTCACAAAGAGCGTAAGCTCTGGGAGGAGAGGACATTTATTTTATTAATACACCATGTCTAGAACAGCATCACCACATCGGTAAATGAAATAATGGTTTCACTGGAAACAGGTTTCACTGGAGCTAATGTCATCAGTTATAATTTAAGGACAGTAACTATGCTTTACAGAGCTACTCTATGTATCTGAATGAAACCCTTTTGTAAAGTGTAAGGATTTGTACTACTGTCATCTTTTACTTAGCCATCTTGTTTTTCTGATTTCCTAAATTTTATTCTGAAACTGAAGAAAACTGAAGCCTGAATGCTTCAGTGATAGTTCACTATGGAGCAAAATATAAACTACTTGGCCTAGCAGACCCAGGACACGGGTCCCTGACTACTGGTCTGGCCTCATCACTAGCCTCTTTTTCCATGTACTATTTTAGCAATGAAATGCAACTTCTCAACCTGGCAGTGGTGGCACATGCCTTTAATCCCAACACTTGCAAGGCAGATGCAGGTGTACATTCCAGCCAGACTTTCCATGTTGCTGGATTTAAATTCCTCTGCACTTCTCTGTTAAAAAACACTTGCCTTATGGAAAACTTCCCTTCGAGCTGTTGACCAGAGGAGTTCAAGAAACTCCCCAAACAATATAAGTTATTGTCTTCGGTTGCTTTCCAGAACATGAAGGTAAGACTCTATTGCTGAAGACATTACACACTTCAGACACAGGACTTGGAGGAATCAAGCTATAAATGACCTGGAAGCATTATTGCTGAGGGCTATCTCTCATAGTATCTGAAAGTGCTATGCAAACTGTTAAGGGAGAAAAGCAATTAATAGTCTTAACTATAAAGCTTACAAAAACCAGGACAATTACCAGCATGGCAAGGTATCACCAAGGATTTAATAGTGGCAATTATATCTTGGGAGTAACCAACATCTGTCTAACTGGACTTAAGGCTTGCTCAATGGAAGGTAATTCATGCCTGGTTTTGTAAGCCTGTCCAGTGGCTGGAAAGGTCATGGATCCTAGAGGAGAACCTTTCCCAAACCAGTATAATTCCTAAGTGAATTTTAAATACTCGTGTTTATCCTTGTACCCACAGGTACAAGCTCTCACCCCTCATCAAAGAAGCTTTTTTTTGCATCAGATGGAAACTACCATAGAAAGCCACAATTGGTCAAAATACAGAGAACAGTTGATCATGGGGTACCTATTTCTGGTTGCTATATGTACAATACAATCCCTATAGCTAAGACTCAATAAACACACAGAAGAGAAGACAGAAAGACTAGAAGAGTGAAAGGATCAGAATGTCTACTATGAGATAGTGCCCTCTATAGATAACAGAATGTATACCCGCAAATGGTAACAATATGATCACCTAAACACGACCTGTACAATGATAGTACCAGCTGCTATTACAAAGCAGATGGGGGACTCTCACAAGACTCCAACCCCTAGATGAAGAAAGAGCTGCAGGCAGTTAATGGTTGCTAATAGAGGGATAAAGAGTTTTCTCCAGTAATGAGCCCCTTGATAAGTAATCCAATGTTGGCTAATTAGATCTTATAACTTAATCAGGCTAGAGATAATGATTTGAATTCACAGATTTCAGAAACATATAGAAATAAATATATAGAGACATATGCAGTAGTGCCCCTGTTAAATGAGAGAGTCTGCATACAGCAAAACCCAAACAGCAATGGGCGTACTACCTATTCCCCAGATCTTAGATTCTACAAGGGCCATGGCTCAGAGAAATGGCTGATCCCAGGGCTGCGACAGGAAAATCACAAGATGGAATCGAGAGAATCTATATTTTGCTAAAAATGAAAAAAGATGGAGACAAGCCAGAAGATACAGAGGCTATTGTGAAGAGTTATCTACCAGCCAAATATGGAGCATTCTGAAGATTAAAATAAATGATAAAAGGGCCTGAAACTCATTAAGCAGAAAACCACGAGTTTCTTATCTAAACAATAAATTTGAAGAGAAATGTAATATTTAAATAGTTACAAAATCACTTGCAAACAAATGCTTCTCTTACAGAGGAAAAAAACGCAAAGTCACAAAATTGAAGCAAGCAGGTATGATCTGAATTGAGTGAATGAAGCAACATCAATAGTGTTCTTTTCCCTTCCTCTGAACTCTGACATTTACACCAGAGGGAAAAAGGGGGCATAGGACTCAGGAAATAAATCAACTCTAAAAGTCTCAAGAAATTCCCCAAAGCTGCAAGATTCATAAGGCCTCAACCCTAGGCTAGAAAGGCAGTCAACGTTTCTTGGGTGATAAGACTGGAGATGCTCCCTAGAAGCTGCAGGAGCTGTAGGGTACGCAGCTTCCTAAGGGTCACTCACACAGGGCTGAACTTCTCAGTGACACAGCTGACTCCGAGACATCCACACTCTTGTAACTTCCCACTCATGCTCTTGTAATATCCTTAACAAACTTACCATTTCCCCAAGCTAGACTTCGTTTTCTGTGCCCTATCTGACCTGAATACTATTTGTTCATGCTTCCTCAGGAAAAGTCATGCAAGAAGCCATTTAGGGCAATCAGGTAGCACTTTATGGGAGATAATGAAAGAGCAAGCATAGCATCACTGTTTCAGCTAAGGATATTTAGTCTGAATCTAGCATGAGAAACAAACAAACAAACAAACAAACAACAACAACAAAAACCCCATAGAGACAGTTTACAAAACATCTGATGTAATCTTTGAAATTATCTAAGTCATGAAAGTAGGGGGAAAACTGGGATACTAGCCCAGACTACAGGAAATTAAAGAAACAGGAAATCAGTATGGCATATGACTTTAAACTGAATCGTTTCAATTTAATGTTATTATTAGGACAACCAGAAAAATGTGAATGTAGACTTTCACTGTTGTCTTAAATTATTCTTCCTACATTCTTTAGCAGGCTGTGAACTTTTTAATCCTCCTGCTCTGGCCTTCCAAATGTGAAGATTACAAGTGTGTACCCACCATGCTTGTTTAGATTGATATTTAGAGCAATGTGTATTAATTCTTGATTTTCATTTTCAGATATAGAGAATATTCTAATTAAAAAACAAACAAACAAACAAACAAACAAACAAACAAAAACCACTAAGTTATTTGAGGCTTCAGGATCCTGAATTATAGTTTATTCTCAAATGTACCAGAAAAAAAAGTGTTATTTGTATTGTACTTACAACTGCTATGTAAGTCTGATACTGCTTTAAAAAAATCATTATTACAATAAACAAGAAAGCTTTACTTTACTAGGCTTATTGGATTAGTTCATCGCTACAACAGTGCATTTCATTTAATACTGTTGGCGCCACCAAGTGTTCAAATGGGTATAAGTTAATTTTAATTTGAAAGCGTACACTGCTGGTATTTTATTTATGGTTCTAACATAAGAAACAAAGAACGACACATATAAGAGGATAAAGATAAAAATAATTACCAAGCCTTTTAGTCATTCCACATCAGTAGTATTAACACAATGGCAGGAGTGAAAAACAAATTAGGCATCACAAATGACATGGCTGCAACTGACTCCTGTGAATAAAAAAGATTCCTGCTGCCAAGAAGTTCACAAAATAGGGAGGATAGAGACATTCACAATTCATTGTGGTAACTCCTTGGGCAGAGGTGGGCAATGCTCTTAAAGCAGGAAGCACCAAACTCCATCCCTTCTACCTCTTTTTACTATGTGGTGGAGGCAGAACTTGCCTACAGAACAGGCTTGTCCACACATGCTGCTTCTAATCCACGAAGCTCAGGAATTTGATAGCACTATGGTAATAAATTCAATGGAATAGGAATAGGTAGGAAAAACCACTTGGGATGTCAGGCCTAGGTCTTGGGTATTATACAGTATCTGAGAAACCATGAATTTGAGTGTTGGACACTGGGCACAATAAAAAAGTCGATACTTAGTTTCTAGTTATCTCTGTCCTAGTTTGCTTTCTACTGCTGTGATAAAAACTATGATCAAAAGCCAGCTTGGAGGAGAAAAGGGTTTAATTCATCTTACAACTCCCAGTCATACTCCATCCCTGAGGGAAATCAGGGCAGGAACTCAAGGTAAGAATTGAAGCAGAGAGCGTTCATGCGTTCATGGAACACACCTTAATCTCAGCCCTTGGGAGGCAGAGGCAGCCAGATCTCTGTGAGTGAGAGGACAGCTGGTCTACAAAGTAAGTTCCAGGACAGCAAAGACTATTATCAGAGAAGCCTTGTTTTGAAAAATAAAAAAACAAAACAAAACAAAAAAGAATAAACTGAAGCAGAGACCATGGAGGAAAGCTACTTACTGGCTGCCGTATCTTACACAACCCAGCACAAGTGAAGCGCTGCACCCAGTGAGCTGGGCCCTCCCTTAAACATGAATGAGGAAAATGCCCACAGACTTGTCTACAAGAATTAAGGTACCAAACCCCATGTCAAACTGCCTGTTTTCACTGTACCTCTGGTCTCATATGATGTTACAGTTGAACATTCACACCCATCAAAATCATTTTTATATCACTACAGTCAGAAGCCTATAAAGCTAGAACAGCAGAAGAAAAACCAAAAACTCAGCTGGTCTTTGTATAGCACTTATTTAACACTTGACCAAACACACGCACACACACACTGATACTCATATTTAGCGCCAAACCTTTGACCAAAAAAAAAAAAAAAATTCCCTACTTTCTTTAAGTCTTTCTAAGTCCACATGGTCTCACTTCAGTGGCTATATTCTAAATCAACTTGAACTTCTTTTTAAAACTGTACCTTTAAAATAAAGTTTATGAGCTATCATAACTGTGGTATGAAGCCAGTGCTAACCCTATCAGGATCAAATGAAATAAAACAATAAGTATATCCTCATTTCCCATTCTGGGAAGAAAAAAGTTTGTGTGTATGCCTGCGTGCGAGCGCCCCTGGGCGAGTCTGTCTGTGAAGCCCAGGGTTGCTTTTGACCTAGCTGGCTGAGTGCTGGGGCTACAAACTTGCCATACTAGCCAGCAGAATTTAAGTTTTCCTTTCTGAGACAGGGTCTGTTGGCCCAGGCTGCCTCTGCACTCACTACATAGTGAAGAATCACCTTTGACCCTCTGCTACTATCTTCCCAGTGTTAGGATTATAGGTACCTGCTCCCACGCCTGATTCATGTGGTGATGGAGATCAAAACTCAGGCCCTGTGCATGCTAGACATGCTCTCAACCATCTGTGCTGCATCCCCAGACCTCAGAAAAAAAAGTTCAGTTTTTAACTTTAACGTAAAAGAAAATTAAAGGGATAAAAACAGATCAACCTAACAAGCCATTTTAACCTATTTTGCTTCAGCCTCATTTCCTCTTGAAAACTAAAATAAGCATAATATTCTCTTTAATTAATTTAGAAATGCATTACTTGGTTGTCTCTAACCTGAAGGAATGCCCGAGCTTCTTTATACCTGCACTCGATAAATCTGGAGTGCGGCACTTCTTCTAGAAAGCGCCCTGGGTCTTTTGGAATAAGCATCTCTAGTCCATCAACAGTAACTTGCTGTAACTCTGGCCTGAAAATGAAGGTTAAGATTTACTATCAAGATTTAATCCAGAAAGCTGGCAGCCTTTTAAAATAGCAAACATTAGCAAAGGAACTAAATAAACAACAGGTGAATTTTCTTCAAATCCTTCAGGCTTCAATCAGCAACTTTAGTAGGATCTTGAAAATCTGACATCAAACAGCAACACAATTTCAGTTTATTTATTTCCACCAATGTAGCTAAATTTGGGGATGAGGTGGATTTCTCTCTATGAATTCAACCCAGGGCCTGTACCACTTTGGTACACTGCTGTCCTTCTTTTAATTTAATTAAAAATAATTTTTTTAAAGACAAGGTCTCCCTAAGTTGCTGAAGCTGGCCTTGAACTTGCAATCCTCTTGCTTCAGCCTCCTATGTAGCTGGGATTACAGGCCTGTGCCACTTGGCCTGGCTTAGTGCATCTAAATAATTTTATAGATATTTTGGCATGTTAAGCAGAAATGAAAGTTGAATGACATCATTTCTGTTATCAACTTAGTTTTTAAAAAAGTATATAGTTCTTACAGTTAAGAAATGCTGAGCAAATTATACTGATTTGGGAGCATCATTGACTGGAAAAGACATTGGAACCCACCTTCTATGAATATTTCTTGAGAACTTTCTATGCCTCTATGTAAAACTATAAAATATAAAGAAGGCTTTATGTACTGGCACACATTATCCCCACAAGTTATTTTTTTGGTTGGTGATTTTGAACTTCACTGAATTATTAACTAGATGTTGAAGTAAACTTTTATTACCTTAAAGAACTAAATGATTTCCTTAAAAAAACTTTTGAAACACAAATAAGAAAAAAAATGAATAAACATGAATAGTGGCAAAATGTCAATAAAAATAACAGGATGCAACACTGAAATAAACTATTTCTTAGAACCCACTAATCATTTTTTGCCATTTATATTCCTAACTTCTTTAGTTTTGAACATTTTTTTCAGCTGTTTTTCACATGGGTGGTTTTAAACACTAATAAGAATACAAAAATAAATGTGCCCTCATGGTCCTAAAGCATAACAATAAGCAGTGTTTTTCTCCAAGTGTCCCCAAAAAGTTTTTGGCATGAAATTCTTATAAGAATGATAAACTTTAAGGTAAAAGATAAAGAAAGGAAAATATTGCTCTGGGTTATAAAGTTGATATTCACGGTCCAATTTTACGAGTCTCTTCAAAAACTTGATTCTTGGCAGCAGTATTTTTATTATTGTGATAGTTAAGGATATACTTCTATAGAGAGTACTATTTTTACTTCCATGATTAGTCTTAGTTTTCTGAGGCAACGTCTTCTGATTATATCGAGGCTGGCCTGGAAGTTGTCATTTAGCCAAGCCTCCCCTGCAGCTTGCAACTCTGCTGCTTCAGCTTCCTGAGTGCTAGGACTTACAGGTGTAAGTTATTTCCTCAGGCCGTAGTGAAAATGGAATAATAAAACACCAAAAACATACAACTCAAGTGCATGTATGATATAAAGCATAAAACAATGAGTTATAAGCACTTGTGTTTTATCTTTATCATAGACAACTAAAGTTGTCAGCACCTCTGGAGTTCTCTGTGTACCCCACTTAGTCAGTCCCTCTCTACCCTCCTCCATCTAGGGATACATTCTATCTAGTTTTGGGGGTAACTTTCCTTACTAAATGGTACTAAAATAAGTACCATTATTCTATTTTAAATATATCCATGAAAACAGTATAGCTCTATAGTATTATTCTTTTCTGCCTTGTTTGAGATACTCAGTGTTGTAGGACCCATCCACACTGTTGGAGAATTGCAGCAGATTTCCTCGAGGTATAATACTTCAATATATATAATATTATTAATTTGTTATTATTTATTGTTATATATTTACCTGTCAAAAGCTCCGGGGTAGCGACCAAACTGTAATTTTCGAAAAGGAACAAACTTCCTGTCCATGTGTCCTTTGAGTCGTAGGTGACCATGCCAGAGGTAGTTGCCGCTCCTCTCATGAAAGACCACCAAGTGGATAGCATGAGCGGCCAGCTTGCAGACATAGTGCAGAGGGATTTCAGTTCCGGAGAGCGAGTCTATTCCATCTAGCCGAGGATCTTTGCTTTCAATCTTTAGGCACTGAAATCCTATATTCTCAGCTATCCGAAACCAGCCGTCCTAGAATAAGACAAGATTAAGTCTATATATTTAAAACCAAATACTAGTAGCAAAACTAAAGCAGTTGTCATACCATTAATCAAGGCATATTTTTGTCTTAATTTGCTGTTTTGCCAGAACAGTCTTTAAAATGAGAGTAGTGAACAGAAGGTAGTCCTGAAAGAATAAAGTAGCAAAAGAAAGCTACAGAGAATAGAGAATATATCTAAGGACTCTGAAAATTAATACAAATTTCTCCCATGGGATAAGAATGTTCATTTAGTGTTCGCTCATTAGTTTCTATGAAGAAGATGTTGACGGCAGGAACGAAAAAGCAAACCTGCAATCCTCATCTCCTAACACTTTAAAAACACTGTGACAGAACCCACATTACAATGCAAACATCGGGAAACAGATTGTAATGTACTGTAAGACAACATATTTTTTCAAATCATTAGATTTAAATCTCACCTATCAAGATTATCCTGTATGCATACTTTAGTTAACTATTACTAAGAGTGTCTGCTGACCCAATGGATATATCTCCACAAGTTAAGCATCTATGGCTCAGGGAACATTGCGGAAGAGTGGTTGGAAAAATTTTAAAAACCAGAATATCAGGAAGCGTGCTGGGAAACAGTCCTCCTAGAAATGGCTGGTGAAATTCTGTTTCAATTAAAAACAGAGAGAGTATCTGCTAGGTATGGTGGCCTATGCACTGGAATCCTTGCAGAAAGATTATAAATTTGAGGCCAGTCTGAGCTACAGTAAACTCCTGATTCTTAAAAACAAAACAAAACAACAACAACAAAAACCACTTTTATTTCACTAGGAATTTATAAGCTCCAAAGAACTTTTACTTATATTCTTATGTTTGCATTTGGATATGATATCCACTCTATAAAAGAAGCATCATAAGTATTAGAAGTAAAGAAACATTTAAGGTCATCTTTCAAAACATAATACACAAATAATGCACAAAGCTACTTAATGTGTATAAAGTGCATGCAAGGTCGGCATATGCGGTCAGCAAGGAAGGTATGCTCATGTCTACCCTACAGTGATGGAACATAAAGCTTTAAGGAAGTATGTCTTGCTGGCCACACAATTCAGAAATAAACATTGAGGATCACACCTAGACTATGAGGCTTGTTGACAAGGAAGCTCACCTGCTGAGCCTAACTGACCTTTCACTTCTTCCAGGGACTCTGCTCATGTTAATCTTGTCAACTGTGTGTATTTCTTTCTTCTAAAGTAGCAAGTGTATTGCACTCAAGAGACACTTTGGAAATGTGGAGGAACACATTTGGAAATATGAAGTCAGAACACTGATGTTGTGAGAGACCATCCTCTGAGCCAAGCAATTACTATCTTGGGGAGTTCAGCTGAGCCCTCCTGACTGTTTTACACACCCTCATGAAGGGATAGGGAGGCTCTCAAGACCTTCACCTGAGTATGACAGCTCCCTAACACCTGCTGTATGCAGTTCTGCCTTAATTGCACCAGGTGAAACTTCTGGGGAAGGGCTGGAATATATACAGGCATGTGCAGGGTGAGGGGAGTGTGTGGCTAGGAGAGGGAAGCTCCATCCATGTTATAACAGGGAAGGTCATTGTTAGGTAAAGGCTTTCCAGGTGAGGCCTCTTGTGTAGGGAGCACCCACACCCAGGGAGGGAAGGTAGGAGGGAAGGAGAGAGGGAGAGAAGAAGAAAGGAAGGAAGGAAGGAAAGAAGGAAGGAAGGAAGGAAGGAAGGAAGGAAGGAAGGAAGGAAGGAAGGAAGGAAGGAAGGAAGGAAGGAAGGATCTATGCTCTGTAAGCTAGGAAACTCACTGGTTTCCCAGGGTGAGCTTTGGTGGAATCCCATGTTTGTCACTGAAACCTGATGGAAAGGTATACACACCGTTTATCTTCCCCTCTGGGAAGGAATTTTAAAAACAACTGTTTTTTTTTTTTATAATCTAAAATATGAAACTCTATCTTACATAACCTAAAATATCCTACCAGATAAGAACCCTTTCCAAGATAAAAGTATTAATGAAGACATATTATTATTATTATTATTATTATTTATTATTGAGAAAAGGGTTTTGTTATGTAGCCCAGGCTGACTTGCAATTTTCCTATTGCAGCCTCCTGAATGCTGAATTGTTTTTCTGTTGCTTGCTACTTTGAAAAATTGTATTATTTACAACAATGTCATGTACAGCAAGGGTCTATATTTGCCATGATCACACTCTGCAAACTCACTATATGACATAGACATATGACTCCCTTATTAAGCTTACAATGTAGTCCTCCCTGAACTTTTACACACTGGAAGATCATTACTCCATTTGATCTGTAGGTTATAACATTGTATTGACTTGGGAGAATACATATGTAACAGTTATAATTTCTACAGACTTTATTTGAGGAAATGATGCTATAAAATGCTCTTTGTAAAAAAATTGTTTATAAGCACCATAGGCTTTTTCTATAAGAAACTCGGTCCAACAGAAACAAGCTGCCAACACAGACATTTACACATCTCCCCAGTGAAGATACTTGTACACTTATCCACCAGCAGCCAGTGGGGCCTAATCACCCTGTTGGGTTTTTTTCAGTCTCTTGTTCTTTTGTTTTGTTTGAGCAGGGTCTGTGTGAGACAGGGTTTCACTATGCAGCCTTGGCTGGCCTGAAATCCACTATGTAGATTAAGCTGGCCAACCGCTCATAAAGATCTGCTCATGCCTATGAAGTAAAGGCATGCAGCACCTCACCCTGCTCAGTCTCTTGTTCTTAAACATGAATCAAGATCAGCACAAACTGCTGAAAATCTGTACCAGTCAAACAAAATAAACATGCCATAAAAAAGATCTAGCAAAACAAAAAGGTATTAGAGTACAATTTATTAGAAAAATAACCCCAAAACTTAACGATCTTTAGTGACAAAGGCAAAAGTATTCCATGAACAAAAGAATGCAAGAAATTTAAGAAAACAAAATTTTAGACAAAAATATTAAACCAATGGCATTAGGCTTTTGTTAAAAAAAAAAATAGAACAGTTGAAAAAAAAAAGAGAAAAAAAATCACAAAGCAAAATGAAGAAAATAAAATTATTTGTTTATATTAGAACACTGGGACCAGGAAAAAGACAAAACCAAGAATGAAAGACCCACAAATCAAAGGAACAGAAAGCAGGAAAATGGTGTATTATATCCTACTGAGCTTTTATGTTTCTATTTCAGAGTTCACAGATGCATTCATTATTCACAAGTATATGAAAACAGCAAGTAAAAAAAATAAAGGATAATCATTATGAGAAAAGAAGTATGATCAGAGTAAATTAATTTCATGTGAATATTTACTCATAATAATGTGGAATGACTATGTGTATCCATATGAGAATGTGAACTAAATTCCTCATCTATGTGAGATACTAGTAACAAAATGTAAGCATTTATGAATGAGAAGATAAACAAGGTGAAAGGACTTCAAGCCACTGGCTCTAGGCCTGAGAGTAAGCTGTGAGAGGCGAGGCAGATATTGCCCTAGTTTACTGAGCTTTGCATTACTATCTGGCCTTTTGAACTTAAAACTAGTATTGCTTTGCTTAAAAATAAAAATTAAATTTTAAATACCATATTCTCAATTTTCCATAGCTTGAAACAATGTTAGAATGTAAAACAAGAAAAAAAGCAAGCCAACAAAGACCATTACATTTGCACTTCACCTGTTTCTCACCTGCATCCCTGCCTAGACAGAACACAGACAAGATGCCAAGTTCATTCCCCGACACCGAGTTTGAGGCAACTGAGAAGCCTGCTCAATTCCTAGCAGTTCATAGCCTGCTGACCCAGTGCACACCATCACTCTGGAAGGAGTTCCACCTGCCACTGTCAACATGATGAATCAAATCTGTAGAACTTTTGCATCTCTCTTGAGTCCTGATTAGTGATGCTCATTTAATCTGATGCACACTATCTGCTATCTTAATCTCTTCCTCACCAGACTCTAGCACATAAATGTTCCATATCCCTACATCACTGCATTGAGGATCAAGTTTATGACACACAAGCCTTGGGGGAACATATCTAAATTGTATGAAAATCAAAATCATGACAGATATTTGAAATAAAGCATGCACCCCTGTCTGCCTTTCATCTTGAAATTACAAAGCAATTTAGAAATATAAGTTTAGGTTTTTGGACACATCTGAAAAGCACTCCATATGAGTAACGCACTAATACTGTGTACATACAAAATAGAGGAACGGTGCTATAGGCAAAATCCTAGGCTGAGGTGTACCTTCTGCAACACACAATGGAAACACAGCCCCTCCTTGCCTGTCTAACTAATGGAGATGCTGAACACCCATGCTGACCTCCTCAAGGTCATGATTATAGTCAAGACTGATATCTGAATAGCAATTTACTAGAAGCTTCTGAGAAAAAAATTCCTTAAAAAGATGGATATTCCCATTTCTTCCTTTCATTCCCCTGTGTTATGCTGGAATGATTGTGGAAATGGAGAAAAAACTTCAGCCCTGGTATCAGTAGGAAGACAAATGAACATCAATAGTCACCATTATTTTACCCTCTGACTAGAAGAGAATAAATGTCTTCTTTGTGGTAGACATTGTATCCAGCTACTTTATAGCTGAAAATATTCAATCCAATTTACACAAAGAACTTTGGATGTCTTACTTTTTAAGCTGTCATAATCTCACACTACCTCCATTGGCTAAAGCAGTGGACTTACCTCATTCTTCCATAGGTGATATTGCAGTGCAAATACAGTGAAGTCTCTTGGAACACAAAAAAATTTGCATTCTGAAGCAGACCCTTGAGAAGTATTTTTCACTTGTTCGATGTTTTTATTAATTGATTCCAGAATCCAAGGGTCAATAAGGAACACTGGCACATTTTGGCTGGATGTCAGCATAATAAATTTCTTAACTGCACGCTGTTTGAGAGGAAGAGAATCTCTTTGAAACCACTAAGTCAATAGAACTTTTCCTGTACTAGGAACTGAACCCCAGACCTCACACATGCTCAGTAAGTGCTCTGTCACTGGGCTCTTTTCCCAGATCCCTTTTGTATTTTCATTTTGAGAAAGGGTCTCGTCGAGTCACCTAGGTTAGCCTTAGACTCATTAGGAAGCCCAAGCAGGCCTTCTTCTTGCACACATGCTCTCCGATTCCCTGTAGGGTGATTTAAAGGCGTGGGCCACTAGGCCTAGCTCACCACAAATAATTTTGTTAAAATTTTGTTCAATTAATTTTCTAAGACCACAGTATCTACCCAATAGACAGCATGCTTATCACTGCACTAGGAATAAGCAAATAAATAACACACTTGTTTCCTGTCCTCAAGAAGTGCACAGTCTACTGAGGAAGATAACAAGTCACTACAGTTCAAGGTAAAATGCACTACAACAAAATGTAAACAACCTAACAAAAGTAGAGACAAAAGTAGAGACATAGGAAGCCAAAAATGGCCACGTATGATGATGACTGCCTGTAACTTCAGCACTCCAGAGGTAGAAGACTACCACAATGTCTGAGGCAAGCCTGGTCTACACAGAAAGTCCCAGGCCAACCAAGGATATACTAGTGAGACCCTATCTCAAAATAACAGCATGAAAGAAGAGAAAACAAACAAGCAAAAACAGAATAAAAACAAACAAACAAAGGGTTTTTTTTTTATTAGTAACCCAGCATTATCTTTTAGTTTTTACAACTGTTGTTGACACAGGGTCCCAGGTAAGCCAGGCTTCCCTTGAACAGTGTCTGTAGCTGAGGATGGCGTTGAGCTCCTGGTCCCCTGCTACCATATCTGGTTTATATAGTGCTTGAGGCAGAACCCAGGGCCTCCTGCATGCTAGACAAACGCTTTAACAACTGAGCTACATCTCAGCTCTGCCCTCACAGCATTGTTTCTAATTCTTAATTACATAGAAAAAAGTATATTTTACAATGTGGATGTTTTGAAATTTTGCAAAACAAAAAATATACTGTATATATTACATTATCTGTTCCTTTCATTTTACAAAGAAATCACTGAGATTTTTATTCCTGATTATTAATTTCCTTTATATTCATAGCTCAATTCTGGTCATATGTTCACTTGTTTGGGAAAGCAGGATAGTTCAGTGGACAAGAATTATAGAGATGTAAAGTTAAAATCTGGATTCAGATATTTACTAACCAGCTAACCATAATCTCCGCAACTAGCTAAACTGAGAAAAACAACACATACTGACTTCTTAACAGTCCACAAGGATAAGATGAGACATTCCACGTAAAACACTTGCGGTAGAGGGTCGACTCCTCATGTCCAAGGTAGTTACTGTCACTGCCATCATGCAACACATACACGAGGAGTAAACCAATAAATGAACTAAAGACAATACAAACACGCTAACTGAGATTTCTTATCTATCATACATACCCATTGTGTGCTATCAAATCCAATTCGGTTTCCTTTGGATTTTGATGAACCTGTTCCATTCTAGTATAGAGAATAAAAGAATATTTTAATAAATTCATAGCATAGCATGTGATATCCAAATGCTTATTTTCATACTCAGCAGCAAACAATTATATAATATAATAAACCAAGAGGCAAAACACTGACAGAGTACAGTAAATTACTGAAGAAGTTCAATGGTATGGCCAGCTTTTCTGAACCAATTAATGCCCATCAAGAAGAGCATTCTCACCCATATTCCTATTTCTATCTGTCTGTTTCCTGTTCTCCTACCCGATGCTTCTCTCTGTCCTGCCTTAGTCTCTCAAGTCCTGAGATTATAGCACAAACCAGCTGGCTCTCTGCTATTTCTCTGAAATTAGAGTTTGTCCACATATTGAATTAGTAATGAGATGACAAAGTGAGTTTTTAAAAAGTATACTAATGAGCAGTTCCCAAATGTCCAGTTCTGTTCTATACTTCCAAACCAAAAGAAAAAAAATTGTTTCCTCCCTCATCTATTCTCTCTCAACAATCCTGCAAAACAAGTGCCATTATTTCTAGTTGAGATGGCACTAATACCCACAATTCTCATAATGTATACTATTATTTCACATGTTCCAGGTGACTTACAAGTTAATAAACTTTTTAAATGTCCAGATTCAGAGAGTCAGAAGGAGGAAAGCAATATCAGTATTTGTGACTAGCTCCCAAATACTGTGAAAATAAATAGGAGAAAAAAATGTCTGATGGTCTAGAGATAAGAATGTTTTACACTCAGACAAGTTTGCCAGCTCCTTATGCTTTCAGTGTTTTCTACCTATGAAGTATAAAAGAGAGGTTGCTGACAATCAATTAAAATTGTCTCATCCTGCAAATACAATGTGCTCAACATTCCTAAAAAGAAGGTCCTTTTCTCATCAAATTGCATACTCAAGGGCAGGTAACAAGACCAAGCTGTCTCTGTATCACCATGTCTGGCATAGTGCTTGGCTAAATAAATGTTAGTAAGAATTTGTTAACTGGAAGCAAAAAGAAGGGAAGAAGAATAATCAAGGTAGAGCTGCATTCAGTTTCTCACAAAATCTGCAAATTAGTAACAGTTGAATACAAATGGACATTTGAGAAAAACACAACAAAAAATAAGATCAAAAAATAACTTTGTAATCTTCAATCTTAATAAGTAATGGAGATTGAAGAAAGTTTTTTTTTGTTTTTTGTTTTTTGTTTTTTTTTTTCCCCACTGCAACCCTACCTTAATATAGCAAACTGATTTTGTTAAGTTTGGAACAAGTGCACTTCTAGTGAGCTAGTAGATTATTTTATAGCTTTTTTGGAATTAAGATCATAGATCATAAACTCTACCATAAACTCTGCACTACCACAAACAGCTAAAAGTCTTACGTAATAGCCAGCTTTATTCAGAGCATCAGACAATTTATATTCTAAGGGTTAAGAAGAGTCACCTGGTCTTCTCATTTTAAGCCTGCTCTCCCAGGTCCATGCTGCTAACTAGAGTGGTAAACATACAGTTACAGTTGATACTATCACCTCTATCTAGAACATTTCACATTGTCCAAACTATATCCTTATTAGCAGTCATTCCCCAGTCTTCTTCCTCTGTGCCACCACACTAACATACTTCTTATCCCAGTATTTGGGAGGCTGAAGGCCAATATGGACTACATAGTGAAACTTAGGATCAAAGAACAAAGCAAAATAAGCAACAGAAATCCAACTCTCACTTGTCTGCACTTGTAAGCGCACAGCTAACTATGCCTGTTCACTGCTGTCACTGCCAATTCCTGATGACTGCTGCATAGGGTCTTCATTCTGCAGAGCAATCCTACTTTCCCTTCTCCATTAATGCTCTTTAACGTATTTTCCTTATTCCATCTGTCTGTGATATTGCTTTTGTTTTCCTGAGAAAAGGAATTGGAGAACTTTCAAGTACTCCCAATACTTTGCTAACTAGTGAAATTACATCCATACAATCTGACTTTCCTCTTTTCATAAGAGATGAACTGTCTGTATTCCTATTTGTAGCCACTTCTTTCTCTTTTAATAAACTGATGCCCTTTTGCTTGGCCAAAGATATTGCTCCAGCAACTTTCTTTTCTCTGCCGGACACAATATTATTTTTTCCATTAAAAATAATTAAAACAAGAAGCAAACAAAAACTTCTTGACAGCTCTTTTCCCTGACAATTATTGTTCTCCTTTATGCAAAACTCCCAGTGAGCCAGATTGTGGTAGCATATGCCTTTAATCCCAGCACTCAAGAGGCAAAAGTAGGAGGATTTCTGTGAGTTCAAGGCCAGCCACATCTATAGACCTAGTTCCAGGACAGCCAAAGCTATATAGAGAAACCCTGTCCTGAAAAACCAACCAAACAACCAACCAAACAACCAACCAACCAAACTTTGAATAGTTGCTCTCATTGCCTTTAATTCTTTCCTGTGAATACACTTGCACTCAAATTTACTCTGCCAAACACTCACAACTACTACTGACTTCCACAATGCTAATTCCACTGGTTGTTAGCTCTTACCTCATTTTATCTACCAAGGCTCGGTAACCCTGCCTCACTGGAATACTTGGTTTACTGGACTCTTATGATTCCCATACTTCAGTCTCTGCTGTGTCTCCCTGGTGTTTGTACTTAGTCTCACTAGCTAGCTCTCAATTCTTTGAAATGAGCTTAAGGGGCAAAGCTCAGATCTCAAGACATTCTTTTACATCTATGCTCACTTATTTCGTATCTCATTGAGTCTTGTCGCTTTTTATTTTTATTAAAGATTTACTTGTGATACATATGTATAAGCAAGACACTCATACACACGGATTGCATGTGTGCAGTGCCTGCAGAGGTCAGAAGAGGGCATTAAATCTCCTGGAACTGGAGTTACAGGAGGTTGTGAGTCACCGCATAGGTGCTTGGAAACCAAATCTGGGTCCTCCTGAAGAACAGAAAATGTTCCTAACTGCTAAGCTATGTCTCTAGCCCATTGCTTTTTCACTTTTTAAAAACATTTATTTACTTATTTTAGAGATGGCACATGTACTGTGCTGTGCATTTGGAGGTCTGAGGACAACTTGTGGGAGTTTGTTCTTCCCTTCTGCTATATGGCTTCAGAGCATCACAGAGGAAAATGCCTTTACCCAGGGAGTAGTCATCTTACTTCCCCAAGTCTTAGAGCTTTACCACCCACCTGCTTAAAACTCCAAGCCGTTGAACTGCAGACTCACATATCCACTCGTCTATTCTTTACCAGGGTGTCAAATAGGCACTAAAACTACACATGAGAAACCTTCCATTCACCATATTTTGGACTTGCTCTTTTAGTTTTTCTCATTTCAATAAACTACAACTTCTCACTTCTGTTGCCTAGGTAAAAAACACAAGTAACCTTTGACTTTCTTCTGTCTTTCATACCCTGCATCTTGCAATCAATAAATCCTTTTAGCTCTGCTTTCTATTTCTTACTAACTCCCTTGTCAAAGGCATTGCCACCTCCTGTGTAAATTATAGTCACCTTTGAAGTAGTTTCTTGTAGCCTGTGCTCCTATAATCTATTCTTAATAGAGCAGATGGGCTAGCACAATCATGTCATATCAACAGCTCAAAACCTTCCTATGGTTCAATCTTACCAATAAGGCCCAAAGTTCTTATACTGGTCAATAAGGCTCTCAACAACAGGGAAGTCTTTGGTCTTACCTACTCTCCTTTCATCTCTCACTCTTCTATAACCATATTAATTTCCAAATTGTTCCAGGCGCTTTCCACCTCAAGATTTTTGTGCTGTTTCCTTTGGTTTCTACACAGTATAGACATTTATATAATTCACTCTTTTAGAATAAACTTTTTCTTTTATTTGTAATGACCTTCAACATTCTTCATGATCATCTGGAAAACTTCTGACTCATCCCATAAGACCAACTTAAAATATTGTGCACCTATGAAATATCCATTAATCTAGCCCTTAAAGTATGTTATTCTTCAGTTCTTTTTTTTCCTGAAAACTTAACTTGAAGGGTCAAGGATAAGAATACTGAGGGGATCTAGCTTTATAAGGCTTAATGATCATACAATTTTAATGACCTCATTTAAGAAAAGGAATGCAAAGCTACATTTTACAAATGTTACAAAAACATGCAGTTTTATAAATATGCCCATGAACCTATAAAATAAAGTGCCCTAGAATTTAAATTTTATTTTTATTGTCTTAATAGTTGTTGTATCTGTGGGGAAGAGTAGCTACTGGTAGCTAGTGGCTACAACTGTAAATGAATAAGAAGAATGTAGTCACTGCCAACCAACGACCATACAAACAGAGAACCAAGAGAATACATAACCTGACCTCTCTTTCTTCCTAGTCTCCAATCTCCAGCTGATGCTTCCCATTGGTTGAACCCAAACGGAAACCCAAAGGCAAGGGAGTTAATGCAGTCCATAGAGATCAGCCTCCCAAGGCATAGAGTATGGCGAAGAAATATCTGGAGAGGCAAACAGAGAATATCCTGCATACTATGCATACTATGCTATGTAGTTTGGTTTATTCTATAGGTATGCTATGCAGAGAATTTGACCAAAATTTTTACAATTTGAACTTTAGAAATATGTCTCATAGTACATAAGGATTACAGAGCCTAAACACTGGGGGACAGAAGAATTCTTAACTAGTTAAGTATTCAGAAGGGAGTTTGAATAAGTAAATATTAAATTATTCATCTATTTCCTTATATATTTCTTAATCTTTAGTTCCAAAGCTCCTCAAATTGTGAGTTTAGGAAGTTATGGCTGATTCACCTGTCATTCTGTTCTAGATTCTATTATTGTACTCAACTTAAATATTTTCTTTTTTTAATATTTTCAACAAAATAGGCTAAGAAGATAAAAAAGAAGCCTAACGACATTTCAAAATATTTCCTACGCATAGTTGTACTGAAAACTTAAGGGGCATAAATATGTGGATGGGCAGAATCAGATCCTAAAAGAACTGGTAGAAAAATAATTGGTGGCTATTAAACTTCACTGCTCCAATGATATGTCATTAACAAAAGGCTTTCCATGGCACAAGCCTGTAATTCCAGCACTCTGGGAGGCAGAAGCAGGCAGATCTCTGTGAGTTTGAGGCCAGCCTGTTCCGCAAAGTGAGTCCAGGACAGCCAAGGCTACACAGAGAAACCCTGACTCAAACAACAAAACACAACAAAACAAAAAAAACTACACATACAAAAAAAGTAAGAAAGGTACTCTAGAAATAGACTGCTAAGACAAATATCTTGTCATTTATGATGTAGAGTATCCAATAATCAAATTCTTATAGGAACCCCAAATCCAAATTCTTAATTTGTATGACTGTTTAAACATACTCAAATAAAGTCAAATGGCTAAGTCTTTATTAAAAAACTTTAAAGTCTTCAATACCTGCTTTTTTCCTAGTTGTTTATAAACCTGTACACCTAGAGCTGAGACCTTAACTGTGCTGAATGCCAAACTATCTGTGTAGCTGCCCTCTTCTGCATCTCGGTGCTACTCCTTCAAGTAGAAATACCACTCTCAAATTCTTCATGGACTGGAATCCTAAATGTTATCAGCAAGGGGAAGAAAGCTGTGGGTGTTAGTAAACCATTTGAAAACCTATAGTCTACAGCCTGAGAATATACGGAAGAATTTTTTTAAAGTGCTTTAATTGTAATAAAAAAAAATTCACCTTTTTTTTTTCTGGATAATGGACAAATGGAAGGGTGATGATATTTAACAAAATATGCCATATTACACTAGACTGTAAAATATATACTTTCCCTCCAGGATTAACCTACATATTTTCCTTCAGCACACTATAAAGCACGCCAAAAGTCAAAGAACAAGTAAAAATCTTTGCATAATTTTACTAAGCAAACCAACTTAAAAATATTTCAAAAGCCTTTGAAATTCTACATGGCTGTAGGATTATTTCCCATTCTTAACATGAAATTGTTCACGGTAAATAACCGCTGCCATTCTTCTTTCAAATGCCTCCCTCCACCTGAAACTACTGAACATAACAGGAAGCTATCCCAGAATCCCACCCTGTGAGTGGCCATCTAGGTAACCCGAACAGTCATGCTAAGGGCACCACTGGTGTGGTTCATCTGACTAGAGAGCACCATGGAAGGTTTGCCTCACTTGGTGCTCTGTCTTTACTTAACCAACAACCTCAATGTTTTCAACTGCCCGGCAGTGTTCTGAGAGCCGTTTCATTTCTTATCTGCCAATCTGAACACATTCTGCTTAAAAAGAGTTTTACTTACACGTCAGAATGGCCCTATGAGTAAAGACAACAACTTCGTTAAACATGAGCAAGAAACACTATCTAGATTCTAGTTAACTCATTTATACAACAGTGAAAATATAGGTTCATAAGAACTCTAATAATTACTTCAACTTCCTTCCTTCCTTTCTCTCTTTCTTAACTCATCCATTCATTCATTCATTCATTCATTCATTCATTCATGTGAGGAGGTCAGAGGACAACTTTCAGGAGTTGGTTCTCTCTCTTTACTGTATGGGTTCCAGGAGTTGAACTCAGATTGCCCAGCTTGGGTGCAAGTGACCTTATCCACTGAGCCACCTTACCAGTCTCTCAACTTTATTTTTAAAATTGTAGAGTAAACCGTCTGTAGGAAACAGAAGCTACCAGAAGCTATCATGTGTGAACATATACTATGCAGGACACATTAAGTGTGATGCATCACATCAACTAGACTAGCTCAGTTGGCAACATTACTGAGTCTCAATCAAAGACCTCAAAGCTTAAAGAAGGGGTTTGCTGAAAGCCAGATGACTGAACTAAGATTTGAACTCAAACCCCATATTTAAGAATTACTACTACTGCTACAACTATCAAATTATGAGTATCTAGAAAGTATGACCTTTGCCCTATTAATCTTGGTTTTCCTACTATTCCCTGTGTATTAACAAGTGTTCAGTAAATACATATTAAGTGAGCACACATTAAACCACATTAAACTGTTAGGAGTTGTAAGAAAAACCAAACCAAACACAAAACAAAACAAAATAAACAAAAAAACAATGAATGGTTGAAACTTCCCTAGGAACTTGTCTTGGCATGAACTGTAAGCCAACTCTGAACAGTTCCCAACTAATGATAGGTTGAGTTTACAATGATATGAGAAAGTATTATGCACTGCACAGAAATGATACTTTAAGTCTGGGATTTTATCTTTTCCTGGACAGGCTATTAAGTACTTATGATGCTGTGGAGCTATCAGCCACGTTATGATATTTCACAGAGTATTATGCCACGCTATGCTATTCAGTAGGTGAGGCATATTAAATATAGTTTTTATCCTATGATGTAACCTTACTGTAGTTGAAGAATATCTGTACTTGATTAGAGTCCACAGAATGATCACTGGGCTACCATTCTACTAGAGTTTGTGTTCAGGATATGATGGAGATCTCACTCTGCTGTCTGTTTACCACACTGATTTCCAGGACTGATCTGGCTGGCCAGACAGGTGTCCCCTTCCTCCCTCATTGTTCTATGTTTGTCCCTCTTGAAGCTGAACACTCAGTCAGTCAAAGAGGTCAACCTCCCTCTCCCAAAAAAGGACCATTCTTGGGTCCAAGGCATATGAGGAGCTGTGCTCCCTGATAGAACATCCAAACAAAGTAAGTTTGTTATTTAAAAAACCTGAGCTACTTACTGTCAAGCCTATTCCTCTATGAAATACAGTATATTTGTTCCTTATCTTTAATTATTAGATAATTGGACTGATTTCATCTGTAGATCACAGAAAAATCTAAACTCATCTAAATAAGTGACCAGGGCCAAGGGGACATCTATAATAATGCTCCAAACATAAGGAGAAGTAGGCCTTCCACAACCGACTCAGGGTAATCTATCCTAAGATCCTAGTAGATTCTGAATCAATGTATACTGTCAGATAAAATAATTTTGATATGTTACCAAAATTACTTATCGGTGACTTCATTTAACTGATACTATTTAGGAATAGCATTTTTTAAATAAAAAAATAGATATTTGAAACATTACTTTTTTTTTAAATGTATGAGTGCTCTGTCTGCATGCACAACTGCACAGCAGAAAAGGGCATTAGATCACTTTATCATGACCCACTATGTGGGCGCTGGAAACTGAACTTAGGACCTCTGGAAGAGCAGCCAGGGCTCTTCACCACTGAGCCATCGCACCAGCCTGAAACATTACTGTTGATTTAATTGTGTAATTACAAAAACATTTAATTGTAATCCTACACTGCCTGTACCAGCCTACAAAGATGAGAATCCCACTGAGAAATGTTTCTTTAAAAATTAAACATTATTAATTTTCTGTACTGAAATTTAAATACCCTAAGAAAACACACAGCCTGGCTAAGAAGGAAGGACATACTTACCCTTGCTGACAAATAGTACTTGTAGTAGTACAGCTGAAACAGCAGGAATGCAGAGCTTGTCAGTGTTAACAGGGCCAAGATCACGTTCTTATTGATTCTACTCATTGGTCTATGGTGTTTGCTTGAATGTTTTTTAACAGTAACCCAGTTGTTTTCATCTTCTTCATGAAACAGGAAGAATCTTGTTTCTTGTCAATAAAAAGATACTTCTGTAAAGAAAAAAAAAAAAGCCAATATAGAAAAAATTAACTTCAATAATTATTGACAGGACATACACTCACACACGCATACATGCACACACACAAACTTATTTATACGTAGCCAGTCTGGCTGTACATGGCTTTACCACCAGCATTTGGTATGCTAAGGCAGGGAGACAGTAAGTACAAGGCCAGCCTAGGCTATACAGTGAGGTCAAGACCAACTATCAGTTATTCATAAGAATACTTGGGTAGGAGGGAACAGCTAACAGAATAGTATGTACATGTGTACATGTGAGAAAGACACAGAGCACATGTTAGATGCAGAAAGAATTAAAGCATTACACCTTCATTAGGACACAGTGACTCCTTTCTTATAAAATGTTGTAAGGAAAATTCTGCAGGAGTGATGAAAAGAAAGGATCTAGGGAAAAGAGGCTGCATAAAAATTAATGTTGCATTTCAGGTAGAGAAATGTAGATGCTTCAGGAACAGGTACCCAAGGGTGTCTGACACTCTCTGCCTCCATTTTGCTGCTGTATGGACAGTGTACAGTGAATACATTGTTTGCTTTTCTTTTTACTAGTTCATGCTACCTAACATCTGTGGATGCTCCCACAACTTCCCTTCATGTCCTGATACACTGTAAACAGAAGAACCATGTCTCTGTTCTATCAGTTTTGAGATCTCTTTCTACAAGGATCTTCCTTTTACATTCGACAATTCTTTCTCATATATTTCAGTTTGGGGTTACAGCAATATTTGTCTTGGGGAAGATGTATTTGTACCCATCTCCTATTTTCCAGTTGTTTCGGGTACTTTCAGGCACAATAGGGTACAAATATTTTTACTCTTCCATTCTAAAGTCCTAAGTTTTGGTACGGAACTTTAAAACAATCCAGATAAGCTGAAAGAGCTGAACACATAAAATAAGCACTGGAAGAAACCATGTAAGATCAACTATCCATGAGAGGTACATCAACAGAGGTGAGAACTACCTATCCCATCCATAGATGATGTACCAAGATAATGGAATACATCATGATTTACTAACCTGTAAAAATTAGTAACATCCATCAACACTGATGTTGATATGAGTGTCTGCTGTCAATTAAAACTTGTTACAATGGTTTCATCTGGGCAGGTCATGGAAACAGATTATTTCTCATTCTCCAGATCTCAGCTCTCTCTCATGCATGTACTGAAAACCTCGCTCGTGTAGTACATACTGCTTCTCTTAGTGACATCTACACTAGCACCACTGCTAAGCGTCCTCTAAGCTTAACTATTCTAAAGTCCAAGTTAATATACTGTTGTTTTTTTTTTTTTGGGGGGGGGAGCTGTCTCTACATTTAATACAAGATTCATTCATTAATAATATATTTTTACATACAGAATACACATTCTTTTAGTTTTAATTTCACCTTTTATTATCAATTTTACTACACATCACTACATGAACAAGGTTGAGAAAAAGTGGTGGTAAAGCCAAACACACTTGTGCTGGAAACATGTGCAAAGTTCAAGATTGTTTTCTGTAGCCAAGAGCATTATATAATCTTTCAGTGTCACAGCTAACATTCAAATATGCCTTAAACTGAAAAAAAAAAAAAAAAAAAAAGAATAGGAGATCAACTACAGAACACAGAGAATAGTACAATTTAGTAAATGTATGTTTAGGGGCTTAGCAAAATGGGAGGCATAAAAAGAAAATGATACCACAGAGGCGCTCAAAAGTAAAAAAGAAACTGAAAAAGCAAAAACACTGAACATTTTTAGACTGTAAAGAAATCTAGCCAGTATTGCCAATGCTACTATTTACCCTCCACAACCTGACAGCAAAGCCCTATTGCTGAAGATACTACATATTTATGTCACTGAATATAGAGAAATAAAGCTGATGCTCAACTAGAAGCTTTGCCCCAAGTGACCAGAATTTATAGTGCTGGATGGTATGATACACACTACTGCAGGAGAAAAGTAATCATTAATCTCATCCAGCTATGAACCCTGTGAGCTATAACAGCAGCTTTCTGCAAGGTATAACTACTGACTGTGTAATAGTGGCACAATGTTATGGGAGTAGCCAACCATCTTTTGATTGGATTTAAGGCCAGCTCTATGAGATGGAACCTATACCCCAAGGAAAGCCCTATTAAAATTATTCTCCCAAATAAACATAGAAATAAAATGACTCCTAACTATGCACAGATAATTTCGTTGTTGAACACTCATCAGAGAGACTTCTTGCAGTAGATAGTAGTTGATACAGACAGCCATAACTAGACAACATACAGAGTAAGAGACTTTGGAACACTCAAGTTTCAAGGAGAAAACACGTCAAAGCCATACACAAAGGCTCAGAGATAGATGTAGAAGAGGAAGTAAAAGACTGTAAGAGCATTTTCCAGACACAATAGGGCTGATGCACACTTGAACTCAGAGACTGTGACATCAGGCACACGTCTGTACAAGTTCAAGCCAGACAAAATCCTAGCACAGAGAAGGGGAAGTGAACACAAAGTCCCACCACTAGCAAAGAAATTATTTGCAACTGATAACTTCTGGGAGGGATAAAAAGTTTTTCGTCAATGGAGTGACAGAGTATATCAAACACATCCCAGGAAAGGACACATGCTCATAAATAGTTGGTCAACACAAAATAGAACCCATGTATTTTTGGTTATGAGAGAAAGAATCTGAAGTTGAGTGGGAAGAGTTTAGGGGTGGGAGAAGAATATGACCAAAATATATCATTTTGGTCATCAAATTACAAGTCTAGTAGGGCCTCACAGGCCTATAATACCAACTACTCTGGAGGCTAGGCAGCATGATAGTAACTTCAAATGCCGCCTATGCTAGAGCTCCTGGCCAGCCTGAGAAGTTTAGTGAGACTATCTTAAAATACAAACTGAACAAGGAGCTAGGACTGTAGCTCAGCAGTAGAGTGCCTGCACATACAAGGCTGTAGAGCCAATCCTAGGACCAATGATGATGATGGTCTTTACTATTTAATGTTCATTCACTTCTTAATCCTCTGCAAAATAACCTCTACCTTCCCATGTTGCCACTTGGAAGATGAAAAGGTAAAATAATGTACTTTCCCCATGTGATTATCCAGAAAAATACATATTTTTACAGTGACTCTTTCTTATAAAATGTTGTAAGGAAAATTCTGCAGGAGTGATGAAAAGAAAGGATCTAGGGAAAAGAGGCTGCATAAAAATTAATGTTGCATTTCAGGTGGAGAAATGTAGATGCTTTTTAATGTTTTTCATACTTGAACATAATTCTGTAATAATTTTTTTTTTTTTTTTAGAGTCTACTCTCAACCAGGCTTGGTGGTGTAAGCCTTTATTTCCAGCACTTTTGGGGCAGAGGTAGGTGGATCTCTGAGTTAGAGGCCGGGCCTCTTCTACATTGTGAGTTCCAGGCCAGACAGCAATACATAGCAAGACCGGTTCAAACAAAGCAAAACAAAACCCAGCAATAACAACTTCACTCTGCTAATGTGTTCTCATTGCTAGAATGGAATGGTTGCTATTGCGCATGGTGGGGAGGAGTGCAAAGCTGTGTCTGCAGGATGTGGAGGTCAGCCAACCCGTAGCGCCATTCTGTGGGTACCATCAACCTTTGTGTGGGTGAGTGAGGGGCTATGTGGACCTGTGTGTTGGGAGTTATGTGCACGTGTGTGATGGCAGGAGTGAACAGACCAGAATGTCTAGTATTTTGCTCTACCATACTGTCCCTTACTCCCTCAAAGCAGAGCCTCTCACTGACTTTGGAGGCAGGCTGGTGGCCAGCAATCCTCTTATTTCTGCTGGCTACCCTTAATGCTGGTTGACAGACATGTGCACAGCCATGCTTGGCTCTCTTTGTGAGTGTGCTGTCTGACTTTGGGTCATCTCATGTTTCCTCTTAGTAACTGAGACATCTCTCCATTCCCCTGCATAACCCTAAACCCCAAAGACAAACTCTCACAAGCCTGGAATCCTCTTCCAAGATATGAGGTTATGCCCACAGGCTACCATGCTCAGCTTGTCTATACACCTTCTGGGGATGGAGGTCCAATCACCATGCTTGCAATGACAAGCACTTTAGTGACTGAGTTATCTTCCCAGCTGAATTATTTGAGTTACGTTTCTCGTTATTTTTAAGTTGAGTGTGCTGGTTAATTTTATGTCGACTTACATACTGGAATAATCTGGGAGGAGGGAACCAATTGAGAAAAATGCCTCCATAAGACAAGGCTGTAGGCAATTCTGTAGAGTATTTTCTTAATTACTGATTGATGTCGGGGGTGGGGGAGTCAAGCCTATTGTGGGTGGTGTCATCCCTGGGCTGGTGGTCCTGGGTTCTATAATAAAACAGGCTCAGCAAACCATGGAAGCAGATAAGCAGCACTCCTTCACGGCAGCTGCATCAGCTCCTCCCCCCCAGCTTCTTGTCCTCACTGCTTCTGATGATGAGCTGTTATATGAAACTATGAGCAAAACAAACCTTATCTTCCCCCAAGTCACTTTTAGTCATGGTATTTCATCACAACAATTATTAACCCTAACGTAGTGAACAGTGAGTAAAGCCTTTCCCTCAAGAGGCAAGTAATCAATTGCTTGTTTGAGGGTATTTACCCCAGGCTGGTCTGAACTAATTATGTAGCTCTGTTTCCTCTGTTTCCTAGTGGTTCTCTTTATCTTGGCCTCCAAAGTGCTGGTATTACATGTGTGCGCTACCATTTCTGGCTCAAAAGCTGACCTTTATTGAAAATCCTCCAAGGTAGAAAGACTGGAATATCATTCTTTACAACTGAGAAAGCCTGAGGCACAAAGTGGCTTGCCTTTTGGTGATCGTGATAAAATCTGAATTCAGTTCTCTAGACTCTTACCTAAAGCTTCTAATTACCCAGCCCCATTTATAACCAATCTTTCCCGGTATTCCCCAACTGAAATGTAAACGCAAGGCAGGAAATTAACATGCAATTATCTGACATAGCTAACCCTGTCCACCTTATTATTATTATCGTCATCAATTTTCATTATTAACCACAGTGAGCACTACTTCAAACGAACTAAGGACGAACACTGCGGAGTCTCAGAAGAGGGAAAGAGCCTGGTAATTCAACTACCTCCTCTCTTCAAATCGATGGCAGCTGGCTGCTGCACACAGAAGCTAAGTCTTCCCCGTAGCATCAACTGCCTTCCCAGGTGGACCCTCCCCTGGTTAGCTGCCCTGCCACTCTCCCTTTCCCCTGCGAGTTCATGCCTCCAGCCCCCGCGTAAGAGGCACCCAGAGAGGCAGCCTGCAGCAGCTCCCTGCGGAAGCACTTTGGCATGCTCGGGTCCTCACACCTGAACCTTCTCCTCGCACCCTCCGCTCTCGCCACTCCGCTCAAACGTCACTGTCCCAAGCCGGCTTCTGTCTCCATGAACCTCTGAAGTCGAAGCCGGGTCAGGATGATGAGCGTGGGCCGTGTGGGAGCTATCTGCCCCCGTGACAGCGGCAGCGTGCTCGCGGACTGACTCACAGAAGGAAGCTGCGGCCGACAGCGGCCTCCTCCCCGCCCCCGTAGGGCGCGTACCCCGAGTAGGGGGCCGACCGTCGGTCAGGGCACCAGCACACCAGCGACACGCGCCTGAGGGCGCCCGCCCACACCCGGGCTCAGCGACCCAGCCCGGGTGCCCTTATCTTACCTCCCTCTGCGGCGGCGGCGGCGGCCAGGCTTACGGCAAGCACGGCAACTGTCGCAAAAGGTCGTCAGGCGACCAGCGGCGCACGCTAGCCCGTGAGTTTTCTGGGTGGCCTGAGCGAGTTTACGTCTCCAGCCACTTCACTGCCCAAGGTTCTCGGAGCCCTGCTGTTCGCCTGCCTTTGGGCAGCCATCCCTCCAGCCGCGCACCGAGGCTGCCTGGAGTGACCGGAAAGAACTGTTTCGCCAGGGTGCAGTTCCCCTCAGCGCAGAATGCCAGTTACATGCAAACACAGGAGAGATAAGGTTCCTCCTTCCTTATTTCCTCCCTCCCTTTCTCTCCCACTTCCACTCTCCTGCTCGCAGTCCCTCCCTCCCACCCCATCTCCTCTCTCCTTTCTTCTTGGATTCTGCTTTGGTATTACTTGCAATTGGAGATAAAGTGGGAAAGGGTATGTATATGGTCATGAAGTTGAGTTGCCTAGAGTGAACAAAACAACTTGTCTCCCCCAGTGCGCAGTTCCCCTGAGCGAAGAGTGCTAGTTATATGCAAACTTAGGCTGGATCCAAGATTCCTCCCTTCCTCCCTCCCTCCCTCCCTCTCTTCCCCTCTTCAGCTCAGCCCCTCCTCTCTCTTCTTGGATTCTGCTTTGGATATCATTACTTGCAATAGGGTGGGAAAGAACACTATGTAGTGATGTATATGCCGATGAAGATGAGTTGCCTACTCTACATCCGGGTAAAGTATGCTGTCTTCTTTGGGCTTGAAACAAACGTAGACAGTTCTTGGCCTGGTATCTTTGAGCACATGTGTATTTTGATGGGAATTTTTGAAAATTAAAAAGCACTAAACAAATTATTGTAATTTTAAGTTATCTCTTCAAAACTTACTAACGGTATTTTACCCTCCACACCCCATTCTGTATCATTTAACTCAAGCTGCCTTAAACTCTCTATGTAGCCCAGTTTGACCTTCAAATGATCCTAGAATTTCCCCATCTCAGCTGCTGAGACAACAAGTCTGCAACATCATGCTTGGCTTAAAACAAGAATTTTTCTAAAAACTGTGATGGAATGCGGCTGTATCATAAAATCCCTATTCTAAAAACCTGGTTTTTAGAAGTGAATGCTTTTCAAGTGCATAGCAAAACTTGTTCTGCATAAACCTTGAAAGAGGCAGTTAAGGGGACTAGCTAGATTTCCGATTTGAGATAAGTTTAAGTGTAAATCTCATTGTTTTTCCTGTATGAGCATGGTTGTAATGTGTCGTCTACATTTTCAAGGTCTGTTACTGTAAAGTGGACCAGGATTTATAAACATATGTCAAGGAAAGAATTTGGAGCCCTTCAAAGAAAACGGACAGTCCTTTTCTTAGACATAGTTTGTCAGCAACCTTTTTAGTCAGTTTACCTCTGAATTTTTCCCCACTTGCAAATAATTATTTTTTTCAATGTAAGCTTAAAAAGTAAAAGCCCTGTCTACAACTGCAAGGTGGAAAATAGGCAAAATAAACTGCTGTCCATTACATATATATACAGTCATTCTTCTGGATGGACCTCAGAAACAGGTCTACACAGGTCCTCAAGGAAAACTTAAGGGTGACCAGGAAGGGAATTCTGGGGCACTGGCTTTCTGTTACATAATAATCTGAAATTAGGTATGTCAGTGGAGTCTGAGAAATTTCCACCTCTAGTTTCATTTCCTATTGCTGTGGTAAAATACTCTGACAAAAGCAATTTTATAAGGAAAGGCTTATTTTGGCTCACAGTGGCAGATTACAGCCTATCATATTAGAAAGTTAAAGAGGCAAAAGCTTGAGGAAGCTGGTTACATCACATCCAAAACAAGAAGAGAGCAAAGAAGGAATGTATCCTAGGGTTCAGTTAGCCCTCTCCTCTCAGTCCAGGGCCCAGCTGGTGAAATGCTGCTGTCCACATTCAGGATAGGTCTCCCCACCTCAGTTAACTAAGGAGCCCCACTCCAGGCATGACCACAGACCCCTCAGTGAGACTGCCTTCTCATGTAACTTTATATTGGACCAAGTAGACAATTGAAACCAACCATCACACATCCATAGGGAGTTCTACTAGGTGAAGCTTCCACTACGGAGCTTTAGGATGAGACAATATGAAGCAGTTGGGTTAACCAAGCATTTTACCAATTGATATATAAAAACAAGATCCCAGAGTGGGGAGCTCTTTCCCTACTCATGCCCTTAATATTCCATTTTTATCCTGATTCATGTAAAGAAATATAGAAGCAAAGCAAAGGATCCCTGGATTCCTTCCAAGGTCAGGATCTGTAACCCAAGTATCTGGTGCATGTACATTCTTGTATCACACTGTCTATACTACTGGATGTCTGTTTAGAATATAAGTAGCCTTTCCTTAATGACATTTTTTTTTTCACTGTATTATCTCTTTTGGTGCTGACCTTGAGCAAAGTGGGTATAAGCAAATAGTAGAATTGCAATGTAAATGCAAAACTATGTTCAGTACACAAAAACTTCAACAGAAAAGAAGGGTGCACTTAATTTGCTAAGGAAAAAGCCCCAAATTCAATAAAGCCACTTGTGAAATGCTCCTCCGGTCACCTACGTTTGACCATGGTGCTACTCTAGAGTTTGTGGAACCTACAGTTGCTGGAAATGGGTTGAGGGCGGGTGTTAAAGGCTACACTCTGTCTGCTGCTGGATTCACCTCTTCCACTTATAATCTGCCAAGATGTGGGCAAGTAGTTTCTTTCATACGCCTGCCACAACTAGCAAGCCACCACACCTTCCCATATGTGACAGATTTTGATCCCCTCAAAATACATCTTTCTTCCTTTAAGATGGTTACTTGTCAGATATCTGATCATAATGACAAAGCACAGTCTACATATTTATAGTATCAAATTCAGGGAGGGATACAAAGAACATGTATAAGCCATCATATAAAAATAGTAGCTTGCAGGTACAAGTTAGAAAGGGGAAGCTTCAAAATTCTGATAGTCCATTTTTATTGGAGTAACTCTGAACTGTGGAGGCCAGTACTTTGCCTAGCAACCACAAAATATAAGGATAGATGATCCATGTTTACCTCTCTTCAGTGAATAATCTGTTGCTTCTATTTTAATGTCACAATGCTACAATGCATACTATTCTTCTGTGCATATATATGCAAGAGAAGTCACTGAGAAAATTAACTTTTCAAGGGAAAGAGCAATTAAAAATCTTGACTCTGTTAAAGTGTTAAGTGGTACCCATCCATCAGCCTTCTATTCACTGTTCCCTCAAAACCTTCATCATATGCTTTTCCTCATAATGCAAGACTGCCTGTTTTCCTTTTACCTTTCTTCTGGAGACAAAGACCTTCAATAAAGGAACTACAGCCACAATACAATCATCCAATCATTGCTTACTTCTTTTCCCTTCAATTCGCTTCACATTAGAATACTCACTGCAAAAGGGACTAGGTTCTGAGTCTGATTCTCTTAGTGACCCTCTACCAAAAATGCAACCTAGAATGTGATGAGCTAACTACTCCATATTCAATGTATAAAACAACAGCTACTAGCGGCATGTAATAATGCTTAAATTAATACAAATTAAAAATTCAGTTGGCTAGTACATTAGTCACAGTAGCTGCCTGTGGCTAGTGGCTACTGAACAAATACAGGATTTTCCATCATTATATAAGACTATTAGTGGCATTGTCTAACATACTTTGAGGCAATGAGGTTATGACTTTTAAAACATTCTTTCTCAATGGAGCAACTATAGACATTTAAATAAAAGTTGATAAAAAATAAAACACTGACACAAAAAAGCAAAGGAAAAAAGTTTAATTTTTAGAAGGGATAATACAGGTGTTTTTGTAAAAACTTCAAATGGAACATTTTATACAGAACATACAATCTTTTCAACATAAAAGTTACTATGCTTTGAACACCTATTGTAAAGTTTAAAAAAATCATTTGAAAGGCTGTCTTGTTTCTAAGGAAAATGAGGCAGTGTGCTCATTTCAAACTCTTGCAGCAATGAATATATAGTGTAGTTTATCAGTGATCTTTATCCACACTTAAAGGTTCAACCTGAGGAGCTGTAATTTCTATTATCACAACTGCATAGCAAAATCACATCCAGATAACAGACATACAAAAATCCTGTAGAGTAGGATAACTTGTAAACCATTTAATACATCCAATTTAGAGCAACACAAGCATGTCCAGACAGATAATAACTGACATGGGTTAATGAACAAGGTTTTGAAATGTTTTTTTTTTTTTTTAACAAAAAGGACAATTCAATAAAGTTGGTGAATATGTGTCAAATGCAACAAATTGTTGAAATACTTGATTGTTGAAAAAAAAAAAAAAAAAGCTATTTCAAGCCAAATTCTCTCTTCATGGGGTGCCAGGCTAGTCTAAATGGAAAGTGCAAATTCCTGGTGGAAAAGGAGCTAAAGTAATTTGCTGATTTAGGCTTCCACTCTACACACGAATGCTGTGGGGGAACTTTCAAACTCTTAAAGCTGTGTAGTTGATGAGGAAATATACAAACAATTATGCACAAAGTAAATTAACAGCAAAGGACATTTTTAACAGAAGGTCTTATTTAAAAGATCATTTAAAATCACTGGTACTATCAACTTAATAACATGCTCATTCAAACTAAACAGCATTTACAAGTATCCAAACACAGTCACTAATAATGAAAACCACCCCATTTACATAGGACTCCATTTTATTACACTCCTCACAACAGCCCTGTGAGGTAGGCTAAGCATGGTACAATATTTTAAGTAAGGCAATAGAGGCCCAAAGGTGACGAGTGATTTACAAAGAGGTCATAGATTACTGTCTGGGAGAGCTATGATGATTAATTTCAAATACGTGAAAGGATGCAAAAATCCTTAAAGACTAGCAGCTTTTACCTGAAGTTAGTCTCTAACTTTAGCTATTGTATCTTAATAGAATCACTTGTGAATTTGGTTTTAAAGGGTCTCTGTTAAAAGATCAATTGGTTTCAGTCCTTTGATACCTTAGA